AGTCTTACACACTCTTGCTTCTGAACTAAGAGAGGAAAAGCAGAGCTCTGCAACCAGTGCCCTGCTGAGATGACATTTTAGCACCATACCAGGGTGAAAGTCTCTATACCAGATATATGCAAGGCTTTCTGAGATTCAAGACGACCTCAGCACCCAGACAGATGTATACAGAAATGAGACCCGGACAGCATTATACAGTTATTTAAAGAACACAGTGGATTTTTTTTCTCCAACTACAGTTCCAATGAATTATTTCATTACTGAAAACGTGCCCACAACTAGAGGTTGACTTATACGGTCAGTATAAACCATGTTAAGTAATTTGAGGCGAAGCCTTACAATCCAAAAAAAGTCAAGTTGTACATCACAATTTTTTAGTATTTTTTTTAACACATACAAATAATCACCAATGATAAAACTGAACTGATTCTATGCTGGTCACAAAATGAAAACAGTACAAATCTAAATAATACTGCTTACAAAGAAAAGAAACAATTTAATAAGAACAAAAAGCAAATTACAAGTTAGCATATGAAATAAAACCAAATGAATACAAGCTTTAACAAAACGATGCTACTGCACACACACAAAAATATAAGTTTAACATGAGAATAATTTAATGAGAAGCGAATTAACACAGCATAGCATAACAAGCAGTTAAGAAACAAAAACATTAAAAATAAGCTTGGGGTAAATTGTAACGTACCGGGAATATGTAGTGTTCAAAATTATAATGACAAAATTCAACAGCTAAATTTTAAGAAATAACATGCAAACATGAATACATCTTCACTGTGTAGACCTTTCTGTGTGTTACTCTTTAAACATTTTGAAAATGGAAAATACTGTGTAAGAATCCAATTTATGAAGAAAAAACATGCAAATATAAAATTTTACTGTGTGTTTGTTACTAGCAGGCTTTTCTCTGTGTTATTTAAAAAATGGAAATTACTGTATCTGAAATCATTTGGTGTCAAAGTAGAGACCATTACGCTACACAAATTGAGTATACTATAAGAGACTTCCCTCAGTGTAAATGACTGGTCCGTGAAGCAGTCTTTCAGCAAAATATCAACAGGTAAAAATAAAAACCTTACTAGAAACATTTAAACTCCATGGTGAAAAAAAAAATCCTATACTGTGAAGACAATAATTACTTTCTTTCTTCTAGACTGCAACCTGATGGTTCCACCTCCCTTAGACTCAAAGTCACATCCTGTATGGTAATCTAACAGGGCAAGTCAGATATCCCATTCAACCTCCAAACAATTATGATTAGGGCATCTGTAATGGTTACTTCAGGACATGCCTGATGTATCCTGCTGACCTGGGTAAAATGTGGGGCATTCTGAAGAGTATAATCTTTATTTTCACATGTAGATATCTATTACTTTATATTTGTAAAATATAAAAAGCAGTACTATATATCTTAATTTTGTCGAGATGATCAACTTTAGTGCACCAGTTTTTATTTACTGCACATGGTTCAGTTTCTCTAATACACAAGGCTAGCAGCATGCCAAGATATTCACACAAAGTACAAACTCCATAGTACCAGCAACAATCTCTTGGAATGCTATAATAAATACACTCATGATCAAACAACGCAGTCCATGAAATTAACTCATGAGCTTCACAGAGCGAGACAAACAGCTTAACCATCTAGCCATGGATACGCCCCTTTTTTTACATTAATTATGTTACATGTATCCAGGTTTCTTAAATATATATGGGGATGGATATAAGGTTTAATTAACATGGTTTAAAGCTTCATGTTATGTCTGAGACAAGCTGACGGAATGAAACTTTGATGGTGTCATATCAGATATTTTGTAACAAATACTTGTAAGCAACAAAGTTTTTACCCCTTACAATGCAGCAAGTTTCTTCTTTCTTAGCATTCATGAACTGTAAACTATGGCACAAAGTTCTGGTAGTTAGTCCACTTCTGGACTTGTCTTGTTCCAGAACTTGAATGTTGCAGCAGGTCCATTTTATAGATCTGGCTTATTTGTACGGAGACTGTCTGGGTAATGGCCTCCCAGGCAGATGCCTAAAGGAAACACCCCTAATTAGTCGCCTCCTACACCATGCTTGTTAGGCTGGTAGTGGGTCTTCACACCCCCCCCCCCCCCACCTCCCAACCATGGGTCCTGGAAATGTAGTAAGGAATTGTTACATTATATTCAAAACACAAAGTTTATTCCCTTAAGACAACAATAAAATACATAATTTAAAAATGTTAATTCAATTTAAAAAGGAAAAGGCATGTTGCGTTTTCAATGCTTAGTCAGTATTACCCCAGTTACTTTTGCTTTCAAGATGATCACCTAGTACCATTTTTTAAGCTGGGTCAACATAAATAAAACCACATACACAAAAATCAGGTTTAAAAAAAAAAATCCCACTTTGATAATATTTGACCACATTGTCACTAGACCATAAGGCTAACACTGCGCCACTATAGCTTTCTAATATGTATAACAAAATAAGGAAATGGTCATGTTTTTTCCTGGCAAATAAATGTTTGGAATGTGTCTAAATCTCTGAATGATACTGTACCTTGCTACTATCAAAGGTGATGTTGCAAAAAAAGAGTTTCTGCGGTTGAGCTGATAAGATGAAGTAGCTAAAAACAAAACACACTATGTCTAGAAAGCTTAAAGCAATAGCTTGTCCTGTAAATATTTGTGTGTTTTTTTTTGGGGGGGGGGGGGGGGGGGGGGGGGGGGTTGTTTCTTGTTACATTTTGACCTTGTCGCTTTTTAACCCTGTCACCCCAAGAAAACTATTTTCCAACTTATACAGGTTTTTTTTAATGACATAGAGTCTTTAAGCAGTGGCCAGTATGTTAACATAACAGCTCTGGTACTTTGCTGCGTTTGTGCTTAGTGATAACTTACCTTCATATTTGAAAGGGAAAAAAAAATCAACTTTGTGTAAAATAATGATTCTAAGTATGAAACATCTATCTTTTTTAGTTATGTGGGGAATTGCTAGCAGGCTTGCCTGTCTCCTCGATGGTCATAGTTTTAAATCCCCCTGAATCTAACAAAATTAAAATCTTACCAAGATTCCAAATTACATCCTGAAAAGGTCGGGTTTTTTTTTTTTTTTTGGGTAGTTTTTTTTTTTTTTAAAGATTTTTAGGAAGCACATGGATTCATTAGCCTGTTGTATTTCCGCTGATAGAAATGATCTGATCGATTTGTTAGTTAGCTTATATTTGTACACACATTTTCCCTTGCCTCTGACGAGCTTCCTAATCTATTTTGTATCTAGCTTCTTCCACCTTACAGCCATCATTAGTGTGGCATTTCCCTTTGGAAGCCCCCTACTCTCAACATTTTCTGTTTTCCATAGATTAAATAATAGATATTTATCCAATAATATCTCCAACACATGTCAAATACATGAAATAATATATGGCAGGAATCGATATGTCTCTGTTTTTCATGCATTCATTCTTTCTTAACATGAAACAATAGCAGATCAAGCATATGATATGATATACAGCATTTATAAAATGCTGACCTTTTAAGGAAGCAAAGAGTATGGCATGTTTTAACAAAAAAAGTTGGAATCTTATAACCTGGAAGATCTCAAGTGTAGTTCACTATCATATCAATGTAGTATTAACAACAGCAACTGTTGAATTCAAACACGCTGACATGTCAAATGGGATTTCGATGATAAGCAAACCTGAAACGACAAAACAGGATTTTTCTTTGTAATTAGCTGCAAAAAAACTCTTAAACATGAAAGATTACAGTATCTGAACAATGTTTAAAAAAAAAAAAAAAAGAGTAATAATAAATTCAGATGGAATGTAGTCGACAAAAATTACCTATGTTTCACAAATAGAAACATCAGACTTAAATTTTTATTACCCAAGATACTAAGCTAATTATCCTTATTTTTCAACAAAAAGATATTTTCTGTCTTAAATAATAAATGAACTAAACATACTAAACAGTAGTTTTAGGCCATTTCTTTATTGTGTTATAAAAGAAATATATACATTATAAGAAGCTTCTTCTTCTTCCTCGCGTTCACCAGCCGTAAACTCCGGCTGAAAGTTCTGGTTGTTCATCCACTTGTGGACTGCAGTCCTGTTCCAGAACCTAAATATTGCGTTTGCATCTGTTTTACAGATCTCACTCATTTGTATACACACTGCTGGTTCCTTTCCTCTCACAGATGCACTCAGACTTCAAAGCAAGCTTCCAATTAGTTGACTCTTACATGCTTTTGGGCAGGCGGTGGATCTATTCTTGTTTTCCCTATAACAGGGCCCCAGAACCTACACGGGGATTATAAGAAGCTAATACAATAATAAACATTTAGCTCTGAGATTCGAATATAAGAACGCTTTTCATTTTCTGGTATTACAAATTCGGGGCACCTTGGAATTACGTACTTGATAAACATCTGCTTGTCTGCACACCAAACTCACTTGCATGTAACAGCATCTACGATGGGAGGAAAAGCTACACTGAGCCAGGAATTACTGCCATGCACTGTTTAAAATGTTTCTGGTCTATGAAACATCATCTTGCTAATGCCAGGGTGAAAAAAAGGAAAAAATGAAAATATCTCTGATCCTGGGGGTATTTGCTTTGCTGTGTACTGGCTAAGATTATCACTTCTGACAGGTAATTCTTTGCTAGAAATTACTGTTAGGGATTATGCCTTCCAAGTTATCACTACCCTTTGACAGGCAGCTATTAAAATGTCCTAAAACGGTAATTAAGACATGCTATACTGCTTTATGTAAACAAAAGGATCACATACTCATTATTAGATATCTCTGATGGTCACACAGTTAACTAACTGTGGACAAGCATCAGAAGCAGATCTACTGTTCTACTAGAATATATGAAGACCTAATACTTTGCACCCTAAAAGCCTTATGTGACGTAGGATTACCTTGACCTATGAACTTTGAAAAGTGTACTGTTAATTACAAAAATATCCAGATAAATAAAAACATTACACACCTGCAATGCACGCTGTCATTAAATTTGTTATGATGCCCCCAAACAAAGCACTGACTGCAATCTGAGCCAGGTCTCCCAGCCGATTTGGCGCCATGGGCCCAAGACCACCCAGTTGTATGCCGATAGAACTCAAGTTAGCAAATCCACATAAGGCATATGTTGCAATTATTTCCGATCTCACCTGAAGACAGAATAAATACTTCATTTTAAACAGCTACTGCCTGTGTGGGTTCCGGGGCCCCACTGTGGGGGGGGGGGGGGGGAACAAGAACAGACCCACTTCCTCCTCAACAAGCATATCATAATAGTCGACAAATTGGGGCTTGCAGATAGTGTTACGGAGTTACAGATGGTGATTACAATGAAGAAGGAGAAGAAGAAGAAGAAGAAACAGTTATAATTTACAAGTGTTAGCAAATGTCAAAGACAGGTTACAAATATATCTAACCTTTTCCTCTTCTGTATTCTCAGATGTCTATTGTATAGTTTTCTTCAGATATACATTGTTCTTACGTAGTCTTTCCTTGTTTGTCTATTATTTCCTAGTGTCTGCAGACTATCCATTATTTCCTTTTAGCCATTGTTCTATCCAGACCAACTTCCTAAACCTAAAGATATCCGACAGCGGATATCTAGTCATTAGTTACATGACCAGTACAGCCTGCCGGATCAATCACATGTCTCCTTTCTACACTTGGATACAAACTTGGGGTAGAACAGTATTATGAAGCTAGTCAGTCCAAAGCATGGTGGTGAAATCTGACAATGTCACTTCACTGCTCTTAGCAATGTTCTTAAGTCTGAATTCCAATGTTTTTGCATGCCTTGGACAGCCAAAAAGAGAACCAACCAAGCTTTTGAAAGAGGCGGGAGCCCTGAGACAACTTATTACAGACATCAGAAGGAGACAAGTCATCATTTTTTGGTCATTTTATGAGAAGAAGAAAATGGAACATGTTGTGACCACTGGAAAGAACTGTGGAAGGAGGGATAGAGAAAGACGAGAGAAGATTCTTGTCAGTCTTGTTGCAAGGCAGGGAGGTGTGTCAGCACATGAACTGATACATGCTGCAGGAGATCGTGGAAAGGCATGATTGCCTATGCCAGTCGCCTCCCTTGCCTCCAGGATTCACCCTTTCATTATTTTCATTACTAGATCTCCATATCTCTTACTTTGGTCAAGCACAGACAGCCTACTTTCTGTGTATTTTTCTATTATTGTTTTCCCTTTTGTCTTTAGGTTTACTTGATCTTCATTCTTCCCAAACATAGATGAAGACTACAAATCATCAGAGTTCAAGGGACACAGTGCCACAATGTTCAAGTGACACCAATGGAAATAACTTCCACTTAAATGGCCCTTTTTGGTTAATAAAAGTATCCTGGTGTCAGAATGCTATTTAATTTAGCAGTGGCCAGATAATTACGTGCAGAAATTTGATTACTCACTTTTAAAATGAAATTTTAAAAATGCTTAGCAATTTTCAGTTTTAACTTCTACAATGAATTAATCTTACATACCGACAAAACTGATCCACCAGAACACTCAGTGCGTTCTTTTATCATTTTAGCCAGGCTATCATAGGCAACAAATTCATTCAGAAAGGTTTTTATTCCAATCAGTTTGGCCACAGCTCCAGCATCTTTCCACTCTACTCCCATGATGTATGCTAATGGCATCAGGGCGTAACTGCATATCACCTGCATAAACCAGTCAAGTACATTTAGTTAAATATATGGTATAATTACTCATTCAAATAAATGTCATATTTTGCATATGTATGATTTTTCTTTTAATGTTTAACATGCTCTTAGACAACTAGCAGTACCTCATGTTGAAAATATAAATTTTTTTTTGGTTTTTGTTTTGAACCATGATTGCAAAAAAAAAAAAAAAAAGGACCATAAGCTACATGTAGTTAACCTCAAACTAAAATAAACAGTGGTAAACCTCAACCTAAAGCAAACACACTAACTGCTCACGCTATATAATATTTTACTGAACCATCAAACATTTTTTTTTTAAACTTGTATTATAACAATCATATTTAGCTCTACCCTCCAGGAATACAACTTATCTCTCTCTCTCTCTCTCTATAAATATAAATAAATAACACAGAGAGAGAGAGAGAGAGAGAGAGAGAGAGAGAGAGAGAGAGGAGAGAGAAAGAGGGGGGGGGAGGGAGGGGGAAAGAGAGAGGGGAGAGAGAGAGAGAGAGAGAGAGAGAGAGAGAGAGAGAGAGAGAGAGAGAGAGAGAGAGAGAGAGAGAGACTGCTAGTTAAAACTAAAGTTTATACAATTGTGTCTGCCAGAAATTTATGATACAAATACTCGTCTATCTTCATTCCTTTCTGAATTATATACAGCTTTTCACAAAGTGACTGAAATTATTAGATTTTGTTTAACTATTCAATACTGATCCCCTACACGAAAATCTGTGTTCTTGTGACGCATAGCTTAATCTTTCTTGCACTTCTTCAAGACTGACTGCCATCTTTACACGTTTCCCCACTGCCAAAAGCTTATTGCTGTGGGTCACATATTCATCTAGTTGCTTTTTATACTTTCTTTCCTTGTAAGTTTGCCCTTAAAAGGGCAGTTAGCACATTGTCTTTTAGTTCACAACTAGGTTGCAATATCTGCCCCCTTCAGCCAAACTCATCCAGTTTCAGTGAACTCCTAATGAGTCACCTTTTACTAAATGCACATTAGGGAGGCAGTGGTCCTCCTGGATCACAGTGCAAAGGCTTACTCAAAAAAATAAAACACAATAAGGATATCACATCTGATAAAGCATATCTATATTTATAATCTAAATGTGATTACATAGGCCAGCATAATTTTATCATCAGAGTTTTGGTAACTAGCATATGACATGTTAAGTGTTATTTATATTTTCTAGCATTTTCATTTGTTTATTTTCTTTTGAGTGCTGAGCTAAGAAATTACATCACAATACTTTGGACATTCCCGTAAGTGCACCACCCTCATCTTCTGCAGCCAACATAGAGTTCCAATTTCGATGATGCCAGGAGCAGTTTATATGCCCCTCTTGCCTTTCCTCTGAGCACATAGTATTAACCAGATTCCCTTGTCACTTTTACTGTCCACAGTGACCGATTCGGACCTCTTCATTTTATTTTTATTTTTATTTTTATTTTTTTTATTTTATACAATTAAATAACACAATGTTTTTTTTTCATTGGAAAGCTTACAAATTATTCCACATACAGTAAAGCATCAATTAACCGTCACTCGGTAAACGGTCAGTTTCTCTTATCCGTCATCGTCTAAAAAAATGTGCGAATATCAGTGAACAAACAGACATCTTTAAAATTGTCCATGGATTACTTTAACACCCTTCTGTATAAAGATGAATGTTTCGGTACATTACTATTCTTGTATTGAAGTTTATATTGATCGTTTTGTAAAATTACAAAAAATATGTGTGTATTATTTACTTTTATAGGATTTTATTATCATTTTCATCCCAAACCAGCAGTGAAATCATATTACTGTATTCATGTATGAAAAGATTTGTTCTCCATCTGTCTGCTTATCCGTCACAGCCCTGGTCCAGACAGTGATGGTTAATCAAAGTTTTATACTGTATCAGAATATATAGATCTTTAAAATGACTTACCTCAAAACTGAGTTCAGGGAAGCAAACAAATGCCCCAAACCAGGAAATGAGGCTGTTGGCAAAGTAAAGCAGCGCAACAAAAGCGATCAGGTTGGCACCAACGTTAGCAACCAGGGATATTGCAGCAGAGGCTCCTGCAGCTGCGGCTTCGACAACATTGTTGAAAGGCCTGGTGGAAATTGTGTTTCTGTGTTAAATCTTTCGTTTACTTATTTTTTTTGAAATGTTAGAAAAAATGTTGCCTCTCAAAGTCCAGTTTAAATTCTACACAGCATGATGCATCTATGGTCGACGCGGCCAGATAAGCATAAAGGAAAGTAAAATGGCCCTTTTCCACGCCTTCAGGAGTACAGGGCACAGAGGGCTAGACCTATATTTTATAAACCAGTCAGCACTTAGTGATAGATGCAGTCAGCATCATGCCGGCCACCTTCACTGTCCAGGACTCCAGCTGATACCCTGTGCATTATACATCACATTTACAGAAGTAGCTTACCAACAGGGTTCCGATCAAAATGAATGCTAGGTACGGCCACTGTTTCGAGTTGTGGCAAAGTTTTTGGCTTCTGCCAGACTGTGGCCGTTGCATTTTTGCTCCATTTGTAGACTGAAAGGATATAGTTTTGTCGCCCAGCTACTGAGTTGAGTGCATGGTGCGACCCTGTGAGCTGCGGATTTCATTTGGAATGTTTTTTCGGCTGTGACCAACGTGGTGTTGTGTTGTGAATTGTAGATTTAGAAAATGGCACGTGGCCTGTCGTCACAATATGTCTAGTGCCCTCATGTGATTAAAATTGATTGTGAGTGCAACTCTGATTTGTTGGTTACCTCAACTACCGTTGATGATGAATTGCATTTCTAATGTTGGACTGTTTGTGTTAGCACTTCTAATGGCTACCGTATGCTTTTAATAAATGTGTATGCTAGTGCATATGCTGAGACAGCAGTCTGTCAATCTTTCCACAAGGCTCTGTGATGAACATTCTGTGTGTTTTTCATTGGCACAGGAGGGGAGCAGCTATAGGGTGACCCTTTTGCTATGAAGCTGAAACTAACATAACATAACATAACATAACATAACATAACATAACATAACATAACAGAAGTAGCTTACTGTTTCTCCTGAATGGCCTTTTTCATATTGGCAATCTGACTATGGCCAAGTTCTGGATACAGAAGTTTTGACACTGCAAGAGCTGCTGGTGCATTCATGACTGAGGCTGTGATCAAATGTGTAGCAGAAACCTGCAAACATTTGAGTGGAACAAACCTTGCATTTTTTCAACACAGATTTAAAATAATTTTACAATTACTCCTCAAGTTTATTGAACTAATAAATCAATAAAGAACTGACATCACTTTACTCAATGTATTCCCACACACTCACTATCCTACTTCTCAGCAGCCAGTGAAGAGTTCTCATACTGATGGTGGTATTTCCCTTCTAATTAAAAACCTGGCACATCTTTTCTTTCCCCTGAGCATTTTAAAGTTTATTTGTTTGTGTAGGTCGACCCAGCCTTAAATAGATCCTGAGAAGTAAAGGCGGCTAGCGTGATGCTAAACTAACTACATCACCCAGCAGTAATGATTGGTCTAAAGAATACAGGTTTAGCCCTATACACCTAAAGGCGTGGAAAAAGGTTCTTGACTTCTTTTATATTTATGTATTTATTCACATTAAAGGCCCACCCCCCCCCCCCTAGGGTAATAGGGGGTGTAGTTAGTAGGAATACTAGGGGGACAACCCCCCCCACCCCCCCACTAGGCCCCCCCCCCCCCCCCCCCCCCCCCCCCCCCCTGCATATTCATGTTTCATTACCCATCAGGCTTTTATAATATTTAAAAGCCAAATTTTCCCCGCAACATACTATTAAATGTGCGGTTATTTGAACCCTTGTTATACTCCCCTCCCCCTCCCCTTATTTCATTCAACAGGGTTATTATTTTAACAGCTTCAGAAACAACTGTAATTAATTTATAGTAAGAAATGTTCCATATAGAGTGATTTAAATCAAAACCGTGTAGTACCGAAAGAGTTGAACTAAGATGCTTGGTTGAATCAAGTTTTTTTTTTTAATCTGTATCTATTAGATTTAAATTTACAATATCATTTATTTTAATTATTATCAATTCATGGTGTGTGCAGTGTTATTTTGGTTAATTGTTTGTTACGGGTGCCCTGTAACACAAGCTAGACAGTAATTCTTCTACTTTTCTCAACCAAACCTTTTAAAAATGTGCTGGATTTGGTAGCTAATTTTCTACAAACTGAGGAAGCCGGTCTCAAGCCAACCATATATATTTGCCTCTATTCACTTGCATACAGTGACCACAAGTCTCATTTTTGCGGGGACCCAGAACCTACCATTGATATTCAACGTCTAATAGAACAATTGCAATTTTTTGTTGTTGTTGTTGCTGAGTGATGCCAGGATAGTCTGGGTCTATCTAAAAAGCGATACATCCCAACGATATGGTCACCCTAGATATGTATGGTAGGTCAATTCTCCTATTTGTTGCTTTCCTTATGGGCCCTGTAAAGGTTGACCACTGATTTCTATGGCCATCTTTTTGTTTTTCCTTACAGAAAGTGCCTCACATCCAGTGATACACTTCTCTTACTCAGCGGCCATTGTGTCCAACTTCAGTACTCATTTTGGATTGTTTACCTTCCCTTAAGAGTTGGGAGCTAAGAATGAACATCACAGCACTTTCCCATAAGTGACCCACCTCTATCTTCAGCAGCGCTCACAGAGTACAATACTGATGATGCAAGTAGTAGTCCACCTTTTTCAGCATGCTTTCTGACTCCCCTAAAAGGATTTCACTCAATATAACAGGTCCAGGCACCCATGGGCAGGTTTCATTTTCCTAACAAATTTACCAGAGCGGTGGCTGTACAGGCTTTTTTATGATTTTGCAATGGACTGAAATGTTTTATTGTGTGCAACTCCCAAATGTACCTCCAGTTGTTGTTTTTTTTTGTTCTTTCGTAAGAATTCTAGGTATCTTATCACAGTACCTTGGATATCTGAGAAAATGTGATTTCATGAGAAACCACTGGTTTGTTTTTTCTCCCTAAATAACTCTCAGTCTTAGGCTGGAAGGGAACGTTATAACTGTGGAGCCACAGGCAGGCACTAACCCTGTAATAACATAACTTATTTGTTTTATAAATTAAAATATGTACACACGAAATACATACCCCTTTTAAAATATATGCAGCCATAACACCCCCAGCAATTGTGGCAAATCCTGCAACCAAGACTGCATGCAGTTCAGATCTTGTCATTATGGAAAGGAATGGACGAATCATAATTGGGGCTTCTGTCTGTTAGTGGAATTTAGAGAAGGGAACACACACAAAAACAATGTATTATTCAGACCAAGAGAAAATACTTACATAAGAATATGATTATGTATAAACCATATGTTTAAAATCATAAGTTAACAGATACGTATTGTACAATGATTTTACATCTGTTGTATATAATTTTTAGTCTACGAGGAAGTCAATAAATAAATCACAAAATGGTTATGGGATGGGGGAAAAATATAGTTGGTGATTTCTAAAGGTGTCATTAGGTGACAGCAACATCAAACTTTATGTCTCCATTTGTCAGGTAGCACTAAGTTTTGCATGCGCACTTGCAACACAGAAACAAAATGGAGACTGTACTTATGTAATGTACTCTAAAAGAACAACATGCTGTTGTGTTTGTTTTTTTGGGCAAAAGGCTGCCTGCAAAAAAACCTTCATAAGTAAATGCTTCCTCTTAATGCTGACAAATGTTTATCCCCTAAAGCAGTGCATAGCTGGGTTTTAAAAAAAAATGTGTTCATGAAGTCTGATCTGTTCTTCCTGTTGAGATTACAACAGACGCCTCCATGCAGCGGGTTGAGGAGATGATTAGAGGTGATAGGCAAGTAACGGTTGACTCTGTAGCAGCTACAATAGGGTGCTCACATGGTTCAGCATACAACATAATGCATGATCAATGGAAATTTAAGAAAGTGTGCTCAAGGTGGGTACCCAGACAGTTGACAGACGAACACAAAATGAAATGATTAGACCTGTCCCTGCAGCATCTCTGTCAATATGCAGATGAAGGAGAAGACATGCTGATCAGGATTACTACTGGGGACATATGGGTGCATCACTACCAGCCCGAATCAAAGCGTTTTTCAACGAATCAAAGCGTTTTTCAACGCAATGGAAACATCTTTCTTCAAATTGCGTTAAAAAAATTCAAGGTCACGCCATCAGCAGCAAAGGTGATGCTGGCAGTGTTCTGGGATTGTCAGGGAGAGCTTTTAACAAATCTAAAAAAAAATTTTTCTTTTAAATGACAGTGTGGATACTGATTTATACTGTTAAGTTATATTGATGCTTCATGATGCAGTTTGAAGAAAACATCCAGGCCTGCTGACTAGAGGAGTACTGCTCCTTTATGACAATGCCAGACCTCTTACGGCTTGGTTAAATCAGGAGAAAATTAACCATCTAGGGTGGGAACTTATGGAACATCCACCTTACAGCCCTGACTTAGCCCCTAGCGATTTCCACCATTTTGGTCCACTGAAAACCCACCTAGGCAGGAGACATTTCACAAATGAAGGTGAATGTGAAGTGAAAATATGGTTTACAAAACAGAGCACATAGTTCTATGCAGCAGGTTTGGGAGGACGGACAAAATGAGGGACAAGCGCATCAATGTTGGTGGAAATTATGTGGAAAAATTAAGGAACAGGTATGTGTAAAAATAAACGGTTTTCAAGTCATCGTCCTTAATAATTTATATTTTTTAAACAACCATTTGTGACTTCCTTATTGACCTTCCCTCGTATATAAATATTTAATAAATATTTAACTCTTTCAATCCCAAGCAGGTGTTACTCTAACTCAGCAGTTCCCAACTATTTTGGCCCTGGAAGCCCTTTTTAGAAATGGTATCTTTGGCGAAGCCTTTAGGCCTACCGTACGTTATGTTATACAAGTTAAAGGTGTTTAGAAGTTATATTATGGAGTGGAGGAAGAGAGGGCAGATATCTAGGAAATGTACAGATATCCAAACCCTTAGGGCTCCAAGCAGCACGGTTGGGATTCGCTGGTTTAACTCGTTTTATTCTGACAAGCTGTTATTTTAACTAATAAATTAATCATCATGTGTCTTGCTGGACAGATTAGATATTCATCTCTCTACATATCTAGGTCCTTGGCTTTCCTGGTCAATTCTATTGATGATATTTCTCCATGCTGCCATCTTAGACCTTTCAGCATAATTTCCCTGTGTCTGTCCACCTTTTCTATCTCAAATCTTTCCATATCTTATGAAATTCTATGTGGCCTCACTTCATAATTTGTTTGTTCACATTCCAAGATTTATTGCCAAATATAAAAACAGATTTGGTATAATATTTCAGTACTCTCTTTTTTCTTGTAGAGACAGAATGCTAGACGGTCCTGCGTGCCAAATTCTTAAACCTCTGAAAATAATGTTCATTTGTCCGATCTGATAACCTGTAAAAGTGGCTTCTTATGTAAGATATTTTCATCTTCTAAAATCCATTTTTGACAACATATATCTCAGAATGATAAACCATTTTTAGAATTATTATCGTTGTACAAATAAAATGCGAAGAAAAAACGAACAGACCTGTCCAACAAAGATGTTTCCTGCAGCACACAAAGATTCTGCAGCAGTGGTTCCCAAAGTCACTCTCATGACGAAAGCTATTTTACTGATGACGGCTTGCATCACACCCAAGTAGTACAGCATGGTGATTACACAGCTGAAGAAGATTATCACTGGAAGAACCTGTTCATGTGATGCAAACAGTGACAATATAGACAAAGTGACGTAGGTAACTGAGGCAATATATTGACAATGTGAGGACACAGCAATGGAAGCAAACAGAACGATGAGGAAAACAGTAACCCCAGAAAATACAATTATGTTGCCATTAGATCAGAGCTTTCCAAATTGTTCATGTTAGTGACATACTTCTTTAGACAAACATAATTTGGCAGTACAGCAATTTAGTCTATTAGCAAACCAAAAGTTAAACCAACCCCTTATAAGAGATACAGGTACACCTTCACACTGCAGCTGACACACTAATGTATCATGACATACAATTTTGAAAGCCCTGCATTAGATGGTTCTCAACTCCATTCCATTCATTCTTCAAGAAAAAATGTGTAGGTAGTCATCAAGCGAAATTTGTGATGGAGTGGTATGTTTAAAAACCATATTCTTTGGACTAACAAATCATAATGTGACATGAGATCTGTCAAGCATCCAAATGCCATTGTCACACACAAAGTTTGCTGGCATGAATCTCCAACATGACCTGTCTCCCATCCTGGTTGTACACTTCCTGAGACTGCTATTTGTCCATCTCTTGATGTTATCCTCCCACTTGTAACACTGTCCAACTATTGCTCACTTGCCCTCAACATTTTTATCTAGTATGGTTTCTAAAAGAGTGTTATGTCCTTCAGTGAGGCCAACATGGTTTACTTTTATTTCCATCTGCAATTTTGTTCCCATTCCCAGTCTCTTCTGACCTTTGTACTCTACTTTTTGTTTCTATAACAACAACCTACCCTTCTTTATGCCCACATCAGGGTTTTTTTCTGAACCTCTAATTCTGACATGAGATAATATATAACATTAACAGAGGCAGTCACAAACAACAGACTGAGTTATACATAATCTCACTGTTGCAAATTTCTAACACTAACCTTGAAAGCAAAGAAATGGTCATCTAAGTTTCCAAACACAAAAGTGGCACCATAATCGCTGTAGCTGAGGAATTTTGTGAACATGTCTCCTATGGTGTTGAAAAGCTCATAACTTTTGTCCCATTTCAAAATAAGAGCAGCGAAATAAAATTGCAAAGCAAAACCACCTAAAACTGGCCTCCAGTTTACCTGCAAAATAAATGATCATTTTCAAGTTAACATCTCAAAATTATATTTCATATTTACTGATGAGTATGCAAACTTCAATTCAACTCAACACAAATTATTATCATTGCACTTCTGACTCATCAATACACACCCTCCTCCATAGTAAAATGTGCAGATACCCACTGTAAATGACTGAAGAGTCTCCTAGTGTGGTGCTCTTTCCTAGTTTGTATTCTAATACATTCTAATACATAAACGGATTCCATCCCCAGGGGCCTCACATGCATTGTGTGACTTATGCCATGACCCATCAGTAAGGCTTATGAGAAAATCTGAGGTCAACTTGGCTTTTAAAATGTCATTAAGCTAAAAGGGGACACCCCCCCCCCCCCAATGCTAGTTAGTTAATCGTCTTTTTCTTCATTCATCCAAAAATATTCACTCCTTTAAGTTGACTTCTACAGGCTTTTTTGACCGGGTTAGCCTTCCTGGTAGTTAATGTATTCATATCCTGATCTGCTTGCATGTGCATGAACTCAGCCAACAGCATTAACTATCCATCTTGTTAAAAGGTCACTATCAAAAAGTCGGGAAAGTGAAATTTTTGGGGAACTGGACCTAACTGTAAGTGTCTGTTTTTTGGCTTCTCGGGTGAAAGGGCTAAATACCTTCACTTTTTTTTTTGTAATCTACTTTTCTTTGGTGGCTGCTGCTTACGTCTACATATATAAGCCCCTGAGAGAATAGAAACAGTATTTATAACTAACAAATAAAGATGTATTGATTGGTACTCCAAGATAGAGGTTCTGATGAGGATCAAACAGGATAAAATATGCAGATGGAAACTGAACATGAGCAAATCCCAGAAACCATGTTCGACTAAACAACAATTATATTAGGACACTCAAGGTTATGAAGTAACCAAAGGTCACATGAGGAAAGGCTGATGATATATATATATATATATACTATATATATATATATATATATTTTTTATATATATATATATAAGTAAACTTAACTGTGATTCTTGGTGTTCATTAAAATCAACAAGGTTACTATCACATTTTAATTATTTTATTTTACATGTCATCTTGAACAATTTAGCCAACAGTTTCTGTGAATCCATAGTTACAATGGTATTTGAAATAAATTTTAGTCATTTCAGCGTTGTTGAAGATTTTTTCTGTGGTACTTCTCTTCTGAGTCTATCCTTTTTTATTCAATAAAATGTCTTAACATTTTTAGAGTAGTAGAAGAGTATTTGTAACATCTCTTTGCCCTAATGACTTGTATCCGGTTGGCTACAACTGTTTACAGTTTTAATTTGACTGTGGGTTTAAGGCCGGTGAGTGGAGACGGATGGTTTGGCTACTTTACGGTTTCAGGACTTTTTAATAGTTAGTTTTGGTGTTGGATCTAAATTTCTTTCACTAGTCAGACTGTGGTAGATACAGATATCAGTGTGTATCATCGCTCAGAGACATTTGATTTCAGGTCGCTAGAGGCGAACTTTCACTTTTCTTAGTTGAAGTGCCTAGCACTGTTAATGTAATGTTATCTGTGAAGAAATGTTAGTTTTGTGTTCAGGAAAATAAACAGATGTTGAATGTGATGGCTATATTCATTTGCTGGATTCAAGATAGAATTTGTAGTTGGTGCACATAGTCTGACTATGCGTTGCCGGTGTAGTAATATGTTGTTGTTGTGTAACACATTTATTCACTGCCAGGGTTATAAATCTATTTCATGGCCCCTGCATAGAAGAACTCTTGTCCTTTCTTTACTTTCCTGTTTTTGCAGTTTAGCAGGGAAATACTCATTGTCCTTACCATATTTTCTTTTTTCCTTATCTCCCTACTTATAGTTTCTCTTTTTCCTCCTTCCCGCTAGCACAGAATAATGAAGCAGTTCTTGATCGGCCTGTCTTAAATTTCTTCCTAATAGTAGAAGTGGTAATTTAAACAACAATATCCTGTTCAATCCATGTTAGTTATAACTGGGATATATAGAGGGTTTTTTTTTCTATTCAAATATAAGATAGTTATGCTTGTGAAATACTTTTGGTTATTTAATATTGCAAAAATTATGCATTAATTGTAACAGACTGTAGTAGCATCACATTTACTTGGTAGAAACATTAGTTAAAGACCAATATGTTTGGACACTGTTATTTGATAATTGCAATTTTAGCTGTCATTTTGTTTCAACAGTTGAAACAGTTTCTCCACTCGATCACAATACTTTCAATAGTACACATTAATCTTTTATTTCTTCCAGTAATACATTTTCATTTCAATATATTAGGTTTCCGTCAATTTAGATTATCATTCCATAAAAGGATTGCCATTATAGCTGCATAATTCATCACAATGTATTTAGTTAATCTTCTGGGAAATGTAAATAATAATACATCCAGTGCCTCATACTATTATATCTGTAGCCAATGTGTACCTTTCTGGGAGCTCTGGAGCAAACCAGCAACAGCACCGCACAGAAAGTCCAGCCAACCAAGGACATCAGATTTGATGGTTGTTTTAAGGCAGTGGTCACTACTATAGCAATTATACCTAAAACTGGAGTTACTGACAAGATCCTGAGGAAGAGAGGGAAACAAATCATTATGCTCTGTTTTGTTTGTATGTGTGTACATTAAATGGAGAGGGTTACAGACAGGAAGGAAAGCTGAGGCTGCTGCCTGAGATGAAGTGCTGGTTTTTTAGATCATCATGCAAGACTCCTACCACATGTCATCATGTGCTAAGGATAATGGCCCGTACCAACCTAAACTGAGCTGTGACCAGAAATCCTGTGGCACTCATCAGCCCATCCCAAAAGCATGGGTAATAATGTCCCTAGAAGACTTTTTTGAAACAGTGAAGTTCTCTGGCAGAGTATCTTACTAAATGATAAATTTTGGTCCAAATGACTGTCGACTGAGTCCTACTAAATGTCAAACTTTGGCTCTAACATCTGTCAAATGAAACTCCTACTAAATGGCTATTTAATTTCAAATGTCTGCCTATCGAGTGTCCTACTATGTGACAGCAAGAGTTTGGATGTCTTCTGCTCTAAAATCCTACTCCTTGATACAAAAGGTTCAAACGTCCACTACCACTGGCCACACGTGTTGGAACCTCATGACCATACAGGGAAGCCATGCAAAAGGTACCACTGAAGATTACTAACATGCAAAGGAAGCTATATGCGCATTTTTTTAAGGTAACTGGAGTCTTGAGTCTGCAGGCTGCCTCCTGGGGATCCCTACAGGGTGCAGCCCGTCATGAGCAGAAGGCCCAGTGTGAGGTTAAGTGGTCATGTGCTGGATGTGGTGATTTCTTGGGTGAGCCCAGTATCTTAGCGTTAGCCCAGCATCACAACGCCATGTGATTTGCTCTGCATCTCTGGAAGCCTCCTTATCATGGTGAGGAATACCAATGTCCTGCCCTGCCTTCCCGTGAGGACCTACCAGTCTGCATGAGGTTGCCCTTGTCAGGTCTTACAGGAACAACACCCAGGGATCAGGGGATGACGAAGCCACCACACAAATGAGACTAAAATGTCTTTTAGTGTCCCAGGTAACTAACCGGGAAGGCTAACCCGGAAAACAAATGCCTGCAGAAGACATGTGTTGGCAAAGGGATGCAAATATCGTAGTTATGCTGTAAACAGGCACAACATATTTACGTAGGGAGCCCCTGCTAGATGCTCGCCTGCGGATCCAAAGGTCGTGAATTTAGGTCCTGGCGGAGCCTGATTTTGTTTTTCTTCCAAATATGACCTTGGCTCTCAGAGCAACCCATCCTTAATTGCATATCAGGTAAAGTCCTAGGAAGTAAAGGCGGCCAGCATGATGCTAACCATATCAGCCAACGAGTGCCAATTGATCTATAAATTATAGGTCTAGCCCTGTATGTCCAATACACCCGAAGGCATGGAAAAGGATCCCTTTACACATTTACACCACTGGGAGGAATAATGAAAAAGAAACAAGAAATTTTATAGTATAAAAAAAATATAACTAACCTCTTTCCCTTCCTTGTGTGTGTGTGTGTGTGTGGGGGGGGGGGGAATGTGTGCGTGTGTATGTGCGTATGCATAAAATGGTGAGGTGAGGTATGCTAAAGATATCATTAACCTTATGTGTGTATAAACGCACTACTTTTTCTGCCTTTCATTCTCAACCAATTCAAGCTAAGCTCTTTGTAGATTTGTCCAAAACTGACCAGATGAGGAAAGGACCAATCATTGCTCTGCTGTAATAAAACCTACCAAAAGCCATAAACTTTGCAAACTGCAAAACGGCCACAACAACTTTCCATAATGACTGCTCATAATCAGTACCCAAGTCTTGTAGTCATGCTTTAAACATCCATGAACCTGCTCAGAATCAGTGCATTGCTTGCCTACAGGAACTTCATTAAATTATCACCAGTCCCCAATTTTTCACACTGTACAACATGATTCAATATGGTTCTACTATATAAACAACAGAACAACCGTCATATATGTCACCTACTTGATTCATTAGTAAAAGCACATGATGTAACTACACAGAACTTACTTCTTCTACTTATTCCCCAGGTGTTAACTCTAGTAGAAGATTCTGGCTGTTCATCCACTTCTAGAATTTAGTTTTGTCCAGAACTTAAGTTTTGCTTGCCTATCCGCTTTACAGATCTTACTTATTTGTATGCAGACTGTTGGTTCCTCCCCTCTCAGGTAGATGCACTCTGACCTCAAAGCAAACAACCCTAATTAGTTGACTCTAACAACATGCCTCTAGGGGGCAGTGGGTTTATGTTTTTCTCTCCCGCAATGGGGTCCCTGAAACTCACACTGGGATATAGAACATACAATGCATATGACTGATATACTGACCACTTTAAAATGTACCAGTACTGCTGCATTATTCTTTCCGCGGGTGTTATAACTGCTGCTTTTATCTCTGACCTGAACTTGCTTTTCACAAACCAGGCAATGATGATCACCAGAACGGCAACAGTGAGATAGATAAGAGGTCGAACATCGTGGCCACATACTTTCATAGCACTCAGCACAATAGCAGATGTGAAAAATGTGGTGTACAGTGCAGCTAATACCACATATACAATCTGCAAAGACAAACATAAATCTTCAAATGTAGCCATATATTAACTTAAAATGTCCTCAAGCAATCAACACAAGCAAAAATGTCCACACAAAGCAGTTTTTTTTAATTCATAATCTGCCAAATTATTTCTTTCCTTATAGCTTCTACATCCGTGACGTTTACTGGTTCTACCATTAAGCGACGTGGGGAGGAATAATTTGCGATCCAGTGCACGCTGGCTGGCACTGGCTATTGTCATGTTGTGAAGGCGTAGAGTGTCTTTAATGTTGTCGACCTATATTTTTCGTGGCCGTCTGTTCTTGTAGCAGATTTTCTAACATGCAGTGCTTGTGATGGTATCTGATCTTGCTGCATTCTAATGAGATGGCCAAGCCACTTGATCTGCTGTTTCTTGGTGAATTTAGAACAAGGTGTCGTTTCCACAATCTGTCTGATAGTATCACTGTTCACTCGATTTCGGATAGTAAGGTTGGCAGCTTTTCTCAGGCACCTCATCTCACAAGTGGTAATTTTGCGTACACGGGTTTTAGATAGTGTCCATGTTTAGCACTGGTAGCTTAATGTTGGAATAAATATGCTGTTTATAATCTGCCTCTTTGCACTCATAGTTATGTTTGGATGTCTTAATAATGGTGACAATTGGTATATAAGTGCAACTGCTTCTTGACATCTGGTTCTCTGTCAATTCTACCACCTTTCATTATAATACTTCCAAGATATTTAAATTCCCTAACTTCATTCAGACAGGAACCATTCAGCTGTATATGTAGTGGGCCAAGTGTTCTACTAACTTGCATTGTTTCAGTTTTGTTTACATTGATCTTCATGTTGTATTTGCTGCATGCTGAGTTTAACCTGTTAATGTGGTCTTTCAGTCTATCTTCTTCAGGGCAGAACAATCATGGTCGTCAACAAATAGTAGTTCTTTTAATGTGGGTGTTCAATGACTTCATCTGATGTACTTCCTCGTGATTATAAGAATCTGTCTACATAAACTTTAAAGACAGAATATTTAAAGAAGCAAGTTCCAATACAGACAACATAGATTGTTATAGTCATAAGGAAGTACAAACATCAGACGAAGTAATCGATATACCCACATTAAGCGAAGACTCACAAGCTACAATGATCTAATTTACATTCTCATACTGTTTCTAATCCCTCTTTTTTAATTTACCCATGGGTCGCGGATAATTACAGATAGGCTGCCAAAAAATTCAGCTTATTCAAGCAACAAAGGTAGGGTAGGTAGTGTTTCTATTCCACACTGTAGGAGTAACAACTCAAGGACTTCCTGTTTGTGTGAAAAGACTATTGTCGATTTAAAAAAAAAACAACAAAGAAATAGAATGGATGCTACTGTAAAACTTTTAACCTCTAAGCAGCAGCATTATCTGAAAGCTTTAATCTGAAACATCAGATTTAACAAACAACTGTCTTCATGTGTTTATTGTTTTGTATTTGGTTAGCTGTCAGGTGGGCTGCAAAACAATTTCCCCTGCTGCGGTGGGCCAAGGTGTAATAAGGTTGGGGAAAACTATTCTAGAGCACAATTAAACTGACAAATTATCAAAAGTTCCACAGTAACACATAACATCCATAATTAAAATACAGCCATATACCAACATACACAATGTAAACATTTTACCGAAATACAAATGTTTAATTTCAGTTATAGAAGAGTTGCAGCTAACCTTGGCACTGTGAAATAAGACAGAATGTAGCTATTTCTCTAAACATTTTTTAAATGTTAAATTCCTTTTATATTCAACAAAAAAACATGAAGAACACATGAATAATGAGAAGTAACATACCCGTGTTAGGATATGCCCATATTTCTGTTTCATAATCTCAATAATTGATGAGGAAGTGTCATAGCTGATATAATCTACATCCACATCTGTAACAATAAAAAAAACGGTGCTAAGTTTGAGTAATTTAGCTGGTTTTTTAATCTTCTTTCTGTTGTCATATCACTGATGCCAGGGTGTAGCACATTGTCGTGGCTTTCTGTTGTCATCACTGGTACCAGGGTGTCGCACATTGTCGTGGCTTTCTGTTGTCATATCACTGATGCCAGGGTGTAGCACATTGTCGTGGCTTTCTGTTGTCATCACTGGTACCAGAATGTCGCACATTGTCGTGGCTTTCTGTTGTCATCACTGGTACCAGGATGTCGCACATTGTCGTGGCTTTCTGTTGTCATAGCACTGGTACCAGGATGTCGCACATTGTCGTGGCTTTCTGTTGTCATAGCACTGATACCAGGATGTCGCACATTGTCGTGGCTTTCTGTTGTCATCACTGGTACCAGGGTGTCGCACATTGTCGTGGCTTTCTGTTGTCATAGCACTGGTACCAGGGTGTAGCACATTGTCGTGGCTTTCTGTTGTCATAGCACTGGTACCAGGGTGTAGCACATTGTCGTGGCTTTCTGTTGTCATATCACTGGTACCAGGGTTTCGCACATTGTCGTGGCTTTCTGTTGTCATAGCACTGGTACCAGGGTGTAGCACATTGTAGAGGCTGTCTGCTGTCATAGCACTGGTACCAGGGTGTCGCACATTGTCATGGCTTTCTGTTGTCATCACTGGTACCAGGGTGTCGCACATTGTCGTGGCTTTCTGTTGTCATATCACTGGTACCAGGGTGTCGCACATTGTCGTGGCTTTCTGTTGTCATATCACTGGTACCAGGGTGTCGCACATTGTCGTGGCTTTCTGTTGTCATAGCACTGGTACCAGGGTGTAGCACATTGTCCTGGCTTTCTGTTGTCATATCACTGGTACCAGGGTGTCGCACATTGTCGTGGCTTTCTGTATCTGCCTTGTCCTACTCAGGTGGCTTTCTGTTGTCATAGCACTGGTACCAGGGTGTAGCACATTGTCGGGGTGTTTACTTCAAAATCAGAGTACATCTGCCTGAGAGGCAAGGAATCAACGGTCTGCTTACAAATAAGCCAGATCGATGTACACACAGAACTCAAGTTCTCGAACAAGACTAAAGTCCATAAATGGATGAACAACCAGAACTTCCCACTGGAGTTTACAGTGAACCTGAAAAAGAAGAAGATTGGTCTTGCTATTTCTGCAACCCTAAACTAACTTTCACATTTATTTTATTTGGAAACAAGTACAATGACCACTGTGCTACAGCTAAAAAAAAAAAAAAAGCTGATCAAACAAATCAAATCTTATTTTGTCATCTCACTGGTACCAGGTTATAGCCCTAGTGTTGTGGTTTTCTGCATTTGTCTTGCGCTTTTCAGGTGGCTTGGCTGCGGGCTTTTTTAAAAATCTTTTTACAGGTTTCAATTACACCATTTATCCATCTCTTTCTTTGTCTCACCCTCGCCTTCCTCCCTGATGTTCCCCTGTAAAATGTTTTATATGCAGTTTGGTCTGGCTGCATTCTCACTTGATTGAAGACTTACTGCATTCTTTCTTTGTCAGTATAATTCAAACATGGTCTTATTCCAACTTTCCCTTAAATGCTGGTATTCGTAACCCTGTCCCTTTTTGCATTGTTAGTGACCTTTCGGAGACAGCGCATTTCACATGTAGTTGTTTTATGTTCTAGTGCCTTATTCATGCTTTTACCTGCCAGTTTGACCCACTGTTTAGACACCTAAATTTCTCCCTTCCAGCAAAACAACAAATGATTAATAGCATTTTCATTTCTACTTTAGGTAATCAAATCTTACCATCCTCAATATTTATGGCAGCCTCTTTTGTCTCCTCAGGATCGAGGGGGTCTAATTCCCCAGACTCAGTGCTAATAGTAGTCAGATCACCAAGCTGAACACTCACTCCAGAGTCATCTGGTCCTGGGACATAAGTTCTCTTCACTGGGGAACTTGTCAAAAAGGACATTTTTGAAATCTGGAAGAAAAAAAAATATTATAACAAAGGTGCATGTCATAAGCTCCCAGAAACTAAATCAAGTCTGCCGCTGAAATCAACCTTCCAGTCTAAACAAATCCCAGTTAAGAAGCAAGTTGGCTTCATGGGGCTCGGAAATATTTAGAAGTCAAATAAACTAAGCCTAGTACCAAAAATATAATATTTAACTTAACGTCTAATCAGTAGTGGTGTATGGACTCAAAAAACGAGGAACTGAAACAATCACTAAATAACAACTAAAACCTCTATGAACTGCACATAAGAGAGTGAATTAAATGGTTTAACAATCACTTATAGATGCCAAAAATATTGTTGGTGAAAGGGGTGGAGGAGGGGGGGGGGGGCTTAGTGTCATCCTCCGTGAAATTTTCAGGGGAGCTGCCTATCCTTTCCTCCTAGATTTGAAATGTGCAGTCCTTTCTCTGGAACCAACGGGGAAAACCTTCAAGGCAAAAAGAACAGCATTAGAGATTGAGCTGAATAGTATGGCGAGAACATAAAGTGAGCTGCAGGAGATGGTAACCGGGTGTGTGCCTGAATCTAGGGGACAAAGGGCATATGTAGGGTAGTTCGCACCCTTGGCGTGTGGGTTCAAAAATGTGTGTGATCTGCATTAACCATTGCTAAATTTTAGGGCTACTGTTGGAGTTGAAGACTTTGTAGTACATAATTAGGAAGCCTGTTTAACACGTTCGCAAGTAAAATTCAAGAGATAGAAAAAATGTATTAATGTAAGCAGTGCTGATTAAGGATAAGTATTTACTTTTTTTGTATAGTTGCGCCCTTTCAACCTTCTTCAACAAAATTAAACTCTAAAGAAAGTTGATGTCTATATACAACAATAAGAAAGAGACGAACACTGTTCTTTGGCCACATAATGAGAATAGGGACATTGGAGAACAGTGACAACTGGAAAAATTAGTGGCAAAGAGGGGTAGCGGCAGACCATGAGATGTGCTGGATGTGCTGAAGCGATGGCATGGAGGGATATCATCAAGAGAGCTATTCCAGGCAACCAAGGCTCGTGATCTGTGGAGATCCATGAGCGCCTACGCCAGTTGGCAGGGTACATGATGATGATGTATTTGAAAAGAGTATATGGTTACATCGGCAACTTGTGAGATGAAATGCTATGGAGATGTCAAAAGGCCGAAATTAACTGTTGTTTTTCAAAACCAGCGGTTCTCAACCTGCGGGTCACAGCCCCTTTTTTTTTTGGTCAAACGACCCCTTTTACAGGGGTCGCCTAAGACCATTGGAAAACATATTCGTGGACTTTATAAAGTAGTAACGATAATATTAATAAATGTATGTTTGTGGGTCGCCACAGCATAAGGAACTGTATTAAAGAGTCGTGGTATTACAAAGATGAACACTGCTCCAAATGTTTTCAGGTTGACTTATAAAGGTGTTTAAAAAAAAAATTTAAATTAAATGTACACGAAAAGTTGTTTCTACCCAACATTGCTGAAATGTTGAATAATATCTTCACTACGTGGGTTTTACGTAATTACTAAGTGTGGACGATGTGGTTTTTTTTTTTTTTTTTACATTGCGTGATCCGTATTTCTTTTAATTTTCGAAACCATTAAAGGAAATTCAAAGTTGTATAAGCATGTTAACGTTTGACGGGATTTACTCAAATCAGAAGTGAATTACGCTTAGGTTCTTGTGCGTCCGTAAATGGCTGCGCAGTTCAAAAAGTGTGTGTGGTGTGTGTGTGTGTGTGCGCGTGCGTGCGTGGGGGGGGGGGGGATATGATGTTATTTTAGTACTACTTTTAGTCATTACCATTTTTGTTTTTAACCATACTGCATTTCTGTGTTCAACAGTTTCTTATTATTCCATGGAGAAATAATATTTATTGCATTAACATTATATATTAGGTTGAAAATTTTAGAAGTCAGTCCCATTCACACAAACATTGCAAAAATCCACGCCCATCTGTATCTGTGCTATAAGTACTGTTCAGAAAACTACTCTGGGTGAAAAAAGTATTGCACATATCAATTTCATACTGATTGTGCTTGTTTTCTAATTATTAAATAACAGTATAATTATATGTTGTAGTAGTCTACTAATAATAATAATAACCATCAATTATTTATATTTATGTTATGTATGATATGTGTATGTTTCATAGCAGTATTTGTATGCGCTAAATTTGATAAAGTACAAATGTCATCTCCCCCCCCCCCCCCCATGCAACAATACCCTCTCGGAATCAAAGCGTTAGCACTGATATTTCTTTACTTTTGCTGGAACAACTTTTAGTTTTCATCTAAACGTTATTGATGTTTATGTTCATGTTGACTGTAGCAAAAGCATTTTTGTTTGTCTGTAAGAGCTTTTATTGTTATATTTATTCGGCACACTTATTTACCTTAAAAATGACGTATAGTTCTATAAAATATGTAGAACATTAATGAAACTGTAGTTTAATTTGTGTATACATCTCCTCGATAACAACTGTTAACACAGAAGGACTCAATTCTTGCACAAGAACGGGAATCCCCGTTGACCCAGTTGGCCTATTTATATCTAAAGATGGCCGTGCGAAAATCTAACACTGCTCCTCTCGGGCTCCCATAACTTTCTTTTTTCGCCGTGCACAAACTGGGGATTGGCGGGCATGATTCATGTTGCATCATCTCCGGTTGTTTACGTGCGTCAGTACATAACATCCTCTCAAAACGTATTCAAATGACTGTTTCAGTCCAAGTCCAAGTCCTTTTAAGAAAAAAAAAGAAAAGCTCGACCACGTTCATTTACTAGAGGTCCTTTTTATATTAAAGAACCATTATTTTTTGCATAATTTGACTGATTTCAGTGTACATCCGAAATAGTGGTCGTGTATTATGTGATACACCGTAAAGTCCACAGATGATATTCTTATCTAACAACACTTTCCCGCGTTGTAAATATCCCTTACACGGTGCACTCAAATTCAAAACAACCCTCCAAAAGCTTGTTTTGAAACCAAACACAGTTCTTGCAATTACCATAACCAAAACATAAAATTTGTAATTATAATTCATAAAATTCCTACTGCTTCTAATTAACGACTGTTACTGTTCTGGCCCCTGGGATCTATCAATGGCGTGCTTTATCCCTAATTATACTAACACATCCCCACAACTGGCGGCAAATGCATACACTAAATGGTTTCCTTTTTGAATGAGAGTTTCGCGGGAAATATAATAATTTTTTTAGAAGAAAACCACAGTCTACAGAAAACTGAAAGCAAATAAAAATATGAATTTCATTAGTCTTCACATGAAATCTGGAACAGTCTGTAATCCCAGATATCATTTAAACAGCGTATGGGTTTAACTAAATGTTGCCTATTGTGGGTACGTTAAAAAAAATTGGGCGGCAAAGGAAAACACTGTGTTATCAGCCGACTCTTGTGGAGTACAAGTAACGCGGGAAGAATATTTATTATGTTTAAGGAAACCCCGCTTGAGTTCTAGGGCCCGTTTTGTTGTTTGAGAGGAAAAGAGAAGACCCACTGCCACTCAATAAGCATGTCGTAAAAGCTGGCAATTAAGGTTGGTTTAAATCGGATGTGTTGGGTCGAAAGGCGCAGATATCCCAGCCTTTACTCGTCAACATATGTTCAAATTTTTCGGTGTATCTTCTTCTTCTTCGCGTTCACCAGCTGTACACTCTAGCAGAAAGTTCTGTTTGCTCGTCCACTACTGAACTGCAGTCCTGCTCCAGAACCTGAGTGTTGCGCGTGCATCAGTTTTACAGATCTCATTCTCTTGAATACAGACTGTTGGTTCCTTGCCTCTCCGGCAGATGCACTCCGACTTCAAAGGAAGCTCCCCAATTAGTCGAATCTTACGACATGCTTTTGGGGAGGCAGTGGGTCTATTCTTGTTTCCCCCACAATGGGGCCCCGGAACCCACACGGGTTTTTTTTTGGCAACAGAGAGGCAATCTGGCCGGTCCCAACCACAATAGAGACAAAGCTGTATGCACGTCAGTGGTTCTCGACTTGCCGGTCGCGACCCTATTTGTGTGTGTGTGTGTGTGTGAGTGGAACGACTCTTTCATACAGGTCACCTAAGACCATCGGAAAATACATTTTCATTGAAGTTATAAAGGAAAATATTTGTCTGGAGGTCGCCACAACATGACGGAACTATTACAGGGTCGCCACAACATGACGGAACTATTACAGGGTCGCCACAACATGACGGAACTGTATTACAGGGTCGCCACAACATGAGGGAACTGTTTTAAACTGTATTAAAGGGCCACGGCATTAAGAAGGTTGAGAGCCACTGGTCTAGAAAATATGTGACGAGGGCGTGACTGAGCACCCGATATGTTAATTCATTGGGTCTGAGCAACTCTTCCCCCCCCCCCCCCCCCCCCCCCCCCCCCCCCCCCCCCCCCCCCCCACCCCCCCCCCCCCCTTTTCTCCTTTTCTGAATGAAGTTTTGCCTGGGTGGTGAGGAGGGTGGCTGAAATATTTTCCTAATATAAAGAGGACCGTAGCCTCCAGTTCCCTTCAATTTTTTTTTAATGGGGGGGGGGGGGGGGAGGGGGGGGGGCTATAAAATTGTGTCGGTTGGGTGGCCTTGAACCCATCCAATGTTTTCTTCGTGGCGCCGCGCCTGTTTAACACTGTAATGTCAGGGCACCAGATGGCTACGACTTGTAGTCGGACCTAGGTGTGTATGATTTATGAAATGTCTTTTTCAGGGTCAGCATAAACATGAGAAGTATAAAACTGTGTGTGCGCGTCTGTTTGTACAAGTACGTGTACGCATTCCATTTCATGTTTTCGCCTGAATACTTAATATCTCTAAGTCCATTATCCGTTAGCGCGTACATGAATATGCAAATCCATCTATATGAAACAGTTTATCAATTTATGTCTCTTAAGTTTTACCCTAATGTTACTTTAAGAAGAAAATTAAAACATTTACCGGGAAACATCGGAAAATTATTTCAAT